TGCTACAATATTAAAATTATAATTACTTCATTATTTTAACGAGATGGCTGTGTATGAAGGTAGGTATTTTATTATTTTGAATGTTAGTATTTAATAATCTATCTTGGGAGATTATAAAAATATATGAGCAGCAATAAATAAAGCCAGATGAATCACATTTTTCTATTCAAATTTTATAATAACAGAGCGACAGTACTCAAATCTCCTCACAGTGCGCAGTATACTGATGTTTTATCAACACGTCACTAGATGGCGTTGCCTTTTGAATTATGCCAACGATAAATCGCGAATTGAAATCTAGTTAGCAACTCAAGAATATTATAATCAAGTGTGCTGTATCTTATAATTAACTTATAATTTTAACCAGAATTGCAGCTTGTAACAATAAAAAAAGCACAGCTATGTAACTTCGTAAAGATCTAAAAGGTGACGAATATTTTTTTTTCCGCCGATTAAATAGCTATATTGGACCAAGGCCATAAGTAAATTTAAGAAACCAACGATGTTGACTTGGAACAAAATTTGTGTCTTTCTGTCAGGTACATTATTAAATAAATATTAAACGAGCATTTTTTTTTGCGCAAGCTATAAATTACGGCGATACATTTGAGTTGAAATGTCACATGACGCCACGCCTTTATACACTTTTCATATAGTTGCGATGTAGCGCAACATAAAATTTATTAACCAAGCCATTTCTTGTTAAATTGAAATAATAACAAAATACGGGCTAAATAGAATTTCTTTTTTTAAATCGGGCATTAACCCTAATCCAGTATCTATTGCAGTTCAACCAAGACAGATTAAAAAGTAATAATTTTCAAAATAACATGACGAAATTCATATACAGGGTTATTACAGAACTATGTAGATGACATCATAAACAACTCCGTATGATATACTCATTTCAACATAACTTGTTACTTTGAACAAAAATGAATATTGAAATTTGGATTATACTGTCGTGACATTCATACGTCAATTTTCTTATGAAATAACTACAGTATGCTTGCGCTCTGTTCCTACGTATGAATGTTGCGAGCAGTATATTAGGTTGCTTACAGGGACATTCCACACGACTGCCCAAAAAGGATTATATTTAGGTTCTTATAATTTCTTAATTCTCATTCACAATGCTATACTGAAAAATATGAAATTATTGAAAAATGCTTAAAAAAATCCACTTTGTCCCTTGCACTCTGAGATGGTATTCGAACTCTCTAACCACTGAGCTACCCAGGACCTAACAGGACTGACAATTTTTCAAGCACTTTTTCGCTACTACAGAGCGTATTTTCATCAATGTTCAGGCAATCCACCCAAAATGCCGAAAAATATATTTTCACAAAAATTTAAATTTTTGATAAAGATGAAAATAAGTTCTAATTATTATATTTGAAAAATATCCTTAAATGAAAAATGCTTAAAAAAGCAAACTGAGATGGAACTTGAACATGAAAAATAAGCCCTAATTAACTTATTTCTTTTATTTTAAGTTCGATTTTGCCAGTCGTATTTTTTAATTATATTTCACTACTATTAATTGATGAATAACAAAAATTAAATTACACAACAATTGTTACAATTGGTATTTATTTATTAAATATATTGTGTATTTTATATTCGCATTTATCGGGCTCCCGTCATAAACAATATAAATAAACAATACTAATCCTGGGAATGTTATTCGCGATCTTTTCAGGTCGTGCAATGCAAAAACCATTGACAATTTTAATAAATATATATACATATATTTTTCAGCTTTTTCATGATACACTCAAAACACCTAGGTAAATATACACTATTTCGAGATTCCTAAAACAAATCTGGGACTAAATTGTCCAATTTTAAAATCTATCACCTTTGAGTTTGAATTGAAAGATATTAATAAATAAATATTTAACAACATAACATACACTGCTCAGATTCCAAGATGAGTAGCTAAAGCCCCCGTATTATTGAGTGTCTGATACAACGGAGGTACCACAACACCCAGACCCGATTCAATGAATCATATAGTTTATTTGAAGTTAATTGAAATAAAACGGTTTGCGATTGTGACTTCATACGCAACAACAATTCCATAAAATCGCTATCAAAATCACTATATCTTTGAAAAGCTTGTGATAGATTTTAAGATTAGCCCACTGGGTCTTCAAGATCTTTTAGTTTTGCCGCGATCAACCTTTAATATATAACTTTTATATCAAATCAAATTGTAAAGATTAAACGTGTTTTTATGATGTTACGTATATAGTTCTTTAAATGATTGCAGTGTTATTACAAAAGAGACGTTAAACAGTGTTTTACCATGAGTTTATCTAAACTGTGTTTAAGAATATAAACCCTGTTTAAAATTATGTTTAACTTTCCCTATTACAAATTCATTTTTAAACATTGTCAAACAAGAAAGTTTAAACTAGTGTAGTTTAAACTTTCTTTCGAAGAAACATTCGTTCTACTGGCTTTCATTCGTTCATACACGTTCAATTCTATGCACGCTGTATACAAACTTATAATAAATTTTAGACGTAAAAAGATATCTTTATAAACACACTAGTTAATAATTTTTGTAAATGAAAATATTTAATCTAAAGTTATCATTTTTAACTTAAATTCAAAGACATAATTCTTATCAAAGTCAGAACATGTAAAACTATAGTGAAATATTGTGAAAGGTCAAATACTCGATAAACAACCCTTGACATATGTTTAAATTTTAAACAATGTTTAAGGGTTTTTTTGCCTTAACCAATGCTTAAATACGATTGTGTAATGGAACGACTTTTAAACACGTGTTCAACGCGTGTTTATCTTTTTTGTAATAACACTGTTGGTGTTTTGCAAATAACCCTGTATAACACAACAAATATTAAACATAATGTAGGTACTATTATATGGTAAATCATTTAGAAATAACTGGTAAATGGTTATCATAACTTAAGTTTGTTTAACTTGCCCATATAATACAAATAAAACCCAACCGATATGACGCATGAAGAATCTTCAATACCGACGAGGACCGAAGGTTTTATTAAAAAAATAAAATGAGTCCTATTTTCGATGATGGTAAGGCCTATAATACTGTGCACTGTGTAGTGAGCGAATGCGACAGTCAACTGCGCGGTGCTTGAACCATTGTGATAAACGAGCGGACTTTTATCATGCGCGGGAACATCGGTATAGTAAGATCAACTCATCTCTGCGCACGATGGGATATGTGTGTAATCCTTGTACATATCATCATCATCAGCCCTTTATTTTGTCCCCGCTGCAGGGGCTCAGGCCTTCCTTATGAATAGTAAAGGAGCATGGGCCATGACCATCCACGCTGGCCCAATGCGGATTGGATTAACGACTGCAAATGCAGCCGGGTCCAACGGCTTAGCGTGCCTTCCGAAGCACGGAGTAGCTCGAGATAATAATTTTTTGGTCACCCATCCCGTGACCGACCCTTGAGAAAGTTGCTTAACCACAACGATCGCGTGCCGCGGCGCATATCCACTACGCCGCCGAGCTACTCATATACAGTGTACTGTTGTACATATACAGTGTACTTTATGCGGGTGTCAATAGGTACAGCCAAATACAGAAATAACAACAAATAAAAAAGAATAACTGTGACGAGTCGTAACTGTTGAAAATTAGTATAGATAATTTTGTTTTAAAATGAGGTTATAGTGACCTGTTATGATTGATAATATGAATTCTTAAAAATCAATTTGGTGAATACTTATTTTTAATGATAAATGCTTTTTTCTCCGTAAATAACAAGACATTTTCGATAACGACTGTACCCATGAAAAAAAGTGCTAATGTTACTCTTCTTCTTTTTTAATTCATAGCCTATTTGCGTTTACGTAATTCCGCCAATGTCACGTTTGTGGTCTTTACACGTTAAGAAATAATAATAAAAATACTATCACATGTTACTCGGACGACACTGAAGCGTCACTGTCACACAAATGAAAGCTGTGTCATTACCAGTGGTCGGAATTGGGTAGAGTTATTCATGTACTTACACTGATTTCATACAGCGAAAGAATAAAGTGGATATGCTACAAATCCCGAGATTAATTTTAAAGAGCAGAAAAAATCCCGTGATTTTTTAAATAAACAGTTATTTACTTTTACACAATTTAAACTACTGTACGCACGACGTTGCCAAACTTACATTAATGACATCGGATGTCCAAAGAATTAGAAATTGTCCATTAGAAATCCCGGGAAGGTCCACATTAATATCAACATTTCGATGCAAGTACATAAATAACTCTACCTAATTCCGACTCTAGTCATTACAAGGTCACGCATACATGGCGTCGCGCGCACAGATGATTTGAACTATATATATCGATCTATCTATATACATATTAGTTGTGTTTTACTATACTTTCCTTGTCAGTTTTTATCAGGGTTCACAAATATCCGATATATATCATACTAATAAAATAAATAAATATGAAAAGCTGCGATTGTGAGCTGGCTTTATTTAATATTAGATCTTTAAAATCAAAGGTGTAAACTACAAATTGAGTTTGTATTTTTTGATTCCCAGTAACGTTTAGTGGAATACCCGATATATTACCTACTCACTATAATAAACCTTATTACGTGAAAATAAGCATTAAATTTTAAGAAAAAAATAAAGATACTAACCGTTCGCAATTGTTTCAATGTTTTTCTCTCCATTATAACCTTCAATCACTACATAGTACAAAACAAAGTCGCTTCCTCTGTCCCTATATCCGTATGTACGCTTAAATCTTTAAAACTACGCAACAGATATTGATGCGGTTTCTTTTCATAGATAGGGTGATTCAAAAGGAAGGTTTTTATGTATAATACAAGACAACGCGGGCAGGCAGAAAGCTAATTAATAGTAAAAATAATAATAACGCGACCTAATCCAGACATTCTATTTACATGAAATTAGTTAATACTAAAAATCGGAAACAAATAAGGTTCCACACAGATATGAGATTATAAAAAAAAAACACTATATAAAATAAACATTATAATTGTATTTTTGCGTTTATACAGTCTTGTGGACATTCGATTTTCATTAGATATGGAAGATAAATAGATTAAATTGTTTCAAAATTAATCTAACATTAATAGCTCGTCCCCTTCTCTCCTTTAGGATAGAAAAAGGACAATAATAAATATAGCATTATACATTATGTGTAAAAATATATGTATACATTTAGGATTCCTATTAATTTTTATTATAAGACACTATTTTCAGCGTGAAATATCTCCCATCCTTTTCTGTATACAAAGAGCAGAAAGAGAGGTAATAACTCCTTTAACATTACTCTTCATTAAAGATGATTAATAAGAAATACATAGTTGAGTGTAAAATGTTTCATATTTCCCATTCGCATAACCCACTTTACCCTTACCTTACTAAATATATCAAACACTCCTTATAAGACTAAAACTACAAGCGAAAATCAACCATACTATCATTGAAATAAAAAAGTATCCCCTTCACTACGCTTTCTCACTCTCTTTCCTTCTCTCAGCCAGTCGTCTCCTTCTATTTATTAAAGGAACGAAACCCCACAACGCAGCGCCACCTACCAAAATAAAACCCAAAGTAACAAACAGTGACTTATACGATTTTGTATATTCAAACCAAAAACCACATATCGGCGGTCCGATCAACTGCAATATACCGTTCATGAACAAACTGATGCCGTATGACGACATTAATCTTTCTGTACCCAACATTTCAGTCATCACTAGTGCTGTGACACCTACGTTGATACCGGACGCGATACCGAATATAGAACAGAACGCACTGATCGCTGAATAACTGGACACAAGCGGTAACATTGCTAAACTGATACCGGATAGAAGTAAACCGAAAATGAAGAAGTAACGCTTAGGCGTCGTAACTACGTCGGATAGCGCTGAACCACCAATCCGGCCGACTAAATCTAACGCTGATATTATCGATAAAAGGTACGCGCCTAGTGATTTATCGAAACCTAACTCTTGAGCGTAAGATGGCACTAATATAATGAAATTCGTATAAGAAATGGCGCATGTGCAATTAGATATAAGTATCACTAAATATATGGGGTCTTTTAACAACTGTACATCGAAATATTTGCTTGGTTCTTTCTTGGCGTTGTCATCTTTAGGTCTCTTCTTGCAACCGCAGCAATAAGTTATTGGCGCTAAACTCTCTGTGATAGATTTCAAACTGAATTGGGAGGCGAATTCGCTTGGCTTCTCGAAAGCGGACAGCGTGGAGCCATGGAAAGGTGTCGACATGTATTGGAAGGATGACGTCGATGGGCTACGCTTAGGAGTTTTTGGTATCGTTAACTTTTTACCGAACGCCTCTGTGGAATTGACTCTGCTAGTTTTACCTTCGGGGACGGATTCTAGTAGTGACAAATTGCTCGGCAAGTGATTTTTACTGGCGACGTTTTGGAGGCCATGTTTCGATGATACCGGCGTAACTTTTCTGGTTTTATCGTTGTCGCGAGACACTTGCGCGGCACTAGCTGATCGGACAAAGTTTTCCTGTTTGTTAGGGGAATCCTCGCCGAAGTTTGCGTTAGATTTGTTCTTGAATATGGGCGGGGAGCCGTTGTGTTTCTCATGAGGCGTGTCTTCGGGCGACAGGAGCTTCGGATGGTCAAACTCATCTGTCTCTGTGGGGTCCTCTTCCGCAAAGGTTTCAAGCTATAACAAAAAAAAATACATATTACACATTTCAAGTTCAAAATAATTTGTTTCGTGAAGTTTAGTCTCGGCTTGCACCTTATTTGCAGTTTGACCACTTCTATCACGCTGACTTTAATATTGACTGTAGAATGTGTTGCACTATCCTCTATCTTTTTTTCCGTCTCCAAAAATGGTTTTTCCATCTCATACGGTTGGTAATCCCTAGACTACCCGAATCAGGGTAAATATTGGATTTGATTCTCACCTCTAAAGAGTTTTTTGAACTACAAGATTATAAGTAATTTAGTATCTCATTGCTTACAGTAAGTTGAGAATTATCGCTCTACTAGCTCTCCGCCAGCGGCTTCGCCCGCGTAGTAATGTATTATACATAAAAACTTTTTTTTAATCACCCTATCTATGAAAAAAAACCGCATCAAAATCCGTTGCGTAGTTTTAAATATTTAAGCGTACATACGGATATAGGGACAGAGAAAGCGACTTTGTTTTATACTATGTAGTGATAAACATTATGCCTGAAATGAAACGACAACAGATAATTCTATCTAGTCCGCCAAATAATAGAAAAATTTAGAATACATTTTTTTGCATCAATTTAAGAAGAAATGGCTTAGATTAGATAATATGCATTAAAGTTGGGGGGGGGGGCTCTCTACGTCACTACTATGTAGAAAAAGCACCTACAACGGTGACGTCATGCAACATTTCTACGTATCGCATATAATTTATTAACTACGTTTAAAATCATAATACGAGTTCAATATTTTTAGGGTAAAACGGGAACCTTATAACTAAGACTCCACTGTCTGTCTGTCTGTCTGTCACCAGGCTGTATGTCTCATTAACTATGAAAGTAAGACAGTTGAAATTTTCACAGATGATGTATTTCTGTTGCCGCTTCAACAACAAATACTAAAAAAAAACAGAATAAAATAAATATATAAGGTGGCTCCCATACAACACTTCGTGAGCGAGTCCGAGTCTCACTTTGCCGGTATTTTTAAATCTACCCAACGGACAGACAAAAATAAGTTGTCATCCTTATTTTACACGTGTTGAAAAAAAAATAATTGAATATTTTTGTTCTATTTTTTATTTTACTGTAGGGGCCGTCCATTAATCACGTGATGCTCAAAGGGGGGGGGGGAGAAGGTATTCGTCAAAAAATTCACAAAATATCACAGGGGGGTGGGATGGGGGGGGTTGAGTAATATATCACGTGTATTTATTTTTTCCTCAAACGCGCAATTATTAAACCGAAAGGCAACGTCAAAAATTAAGATTTTATGTTGGTTTTACAAAATACACCTGTTTGGTTGAAGGAGAGAAGGTGTTGTCTTAAGCATCACCATGTATCACCAAGGGGGAAGGGGAGTCAAAAAATGTTGAAAAACATGACGATCACATGATTAATGGACGGCCCCGTAGATGAGAAAAAAACGAATTTCAAAATTTTTAATTTTTAATTTATATTTAATTATACATTAATTTGTCACCGGTTAATATTCATTATAATTAAGTAACAATTTAAAAGTTTTAAAAATACACACTTTTTTTTTATATAATAAGAAAATTCATAAAACATTGTGCATAATATCATGGAATTTAATTGCTTATATATCACCGCATAAGTACATTTATTAAATGCAATGAGGAAGTATTATAAAAAAATATAGTTCCCGAAATCGAACTAGATGTCGCTACGGTACGTTCTTGATTTCTCCATGACAACCCTTCCGGTTTTCTTTCATGTATAAAAGTAAATTAGTTTTCAAAACTCAATCAACAAGTCATTCTATTTGCACTTTTTCGTATTTGTATTGACATCTAAGTTTCTAACTTCTAAAATTTCAGTTTTTTTAATATGTTAGTTAAAAGGAACGGAAATGACTGTCTTTGGTCCATACGTTTCCTGCAAAAATCAACTTTTGCTAGAGTCGCCATCTAGTGGAGGGGTTTTTTAGGGCTTTCGTTTTTTTTAAATACTTCCTCATTAATGATTATTTTTACATTTTAAGTTAATAATAATAATAAACAAGAAATATATGAAAAAAGAGTCAAAATATAGTATATATAATAAACTATTGCATAATAAGTTTCACTTGATTCAAATCATTGGTCAACTAAAGCAAATCGAGAACGATAGAAGAGAAAACATCCAACTAAAATATGTCAACTTAATTTAGTCGTATAATGGTTAATAGTTGTAATGGGTAACGGTACAGCTTAAGTCCTTTAAGAGTTGAGCTTATACATCTCAACAACATATATACAGCTCAACCCTTAATAATTAAGGGTTGCGCTGTATAGTTTTTCGTCGTCCCATTCTTTACTACCGCTCAGAATCCCTTTTAATTACTTGAGTAAAAATAACTTTAATTAAGTAAGAACTGTATTATTATTATCTAGTAACAGTTCTTACGTCATTCAAATTCTCGTCTATTGTTTAAAAATGGTTGCTCGAGTTATGACATTTTCTAGAGTAATTACTTTTCTCGACCATAGAAGTGTAAGTCTAAAATGATTTTAAAAAGGAATGTCTTCACTACTGTAACTAAGGTAAAACAAATTCCTTATTGTACATTTTAATTTAGTCGATTAATAATTCGGAAAAAGATTGGAATGGTGTAATCGTATAACAGTTAGGAGCTGCTTTTCTCTCTCGCGAAATGCGTAGTTCATAGCGTTAAAAAAAGAAAATATAATTTTTCAATAATTTTGATTTATTAAAATTTTCGATATAGCTTTGTTTGTCTAAGTACAACTTTTTGAGTATATTTTAATTTAGTTAAACTTAATATATTACCATAAATCAATACAATCTAAACCATTAGTTAAATATTATAAAAGAATATAAACTTCACCGACAAAATCAATAAAAAGTTTTAATAGATATGGTAAGAATATGTTTAATGCCTGGTTTAAAAAAAAAATCTTTTTAGTTCGTCAGTCTAATAATACAAAAATATTAGATGTTTTTTATTATTATTTTAACAAGAAATGGCTTAGATGAGGAGTGGGGCCTCGTTAAATCACAGACGCACAGAGTAGCTAGAGAAAATTATTTTCGATCACCCATCCCGTGACCGACCCACGCGAAAGTTGCTTAACTATAACGTTCGCGGGTCACGGTGCTTACCCACTATGCGACCGATCCAACAAGATTTTCAACCTAATGCATAAGAATGTAAAAATATTGGCAAGAAAAAAATATAATTTTTTAAAGAGATATTTTAAAATTTTTAAGAATACATTTTAAATTATCATAATGTACACGTCATACCGATCCCTGATTCCATGCCAGAGATCAAATTCTATATAATAATATGTCATCCGTTGATTAAATAAAATCATTTAGACAGGGGTAGGTCCTAGTACACTTGGTTTGTCAGATACTAAGGTAACAACTATTGAAGTGAGAGAAAATATCACGTGTCCATGTGACAGAAAGGGATACGTGATCATAAATAATATGTTAATGGTAAATTTGCAAAACACAAACATGAGACATAACCATTGAAATCAGATACATATACAACGTGTCCCAAAATTCAACGATAAGCGGGCGCCAAGAGGTAGACCTGCTCATGTGTACTTATGGAAAAATAAGAAAAAAATTATATCTTATTAATCTTTTTTATTAAAAACTAAAATTCGAAAATTTTCGAAAGAGTTGTAGCGAATAGTAGTGCTTCTTAGGTATCCGATACCAAAAAAAGATTGAACATAATTTAGAAGTTGTGGTCGTGGTAGTTGAAAATATCATAAAAGGTGTAAATTTTCGAAGATTTTCGAATTTAATTTTATAATAAAAAAGATAAGATATAATTTTTTTCTTATTTTTCCATAAGTACACATGAGCAAGGGTACCTCTTGGCGCCCGCTTATCGTTGAATTTTGGGACACGTTGTATAAATAGACACTTTTTAAATCTAAGTTCTCGAAATAAAGGAATGATTTTGTGTACAAAAATATAGTTCTTACATTTTATTTATTAATAATATTAATTATTATAGTCGTTATAATACTTTTATTACAAAACAAATATAGGAAATGTATAATCTTAACTACAGTCCATTGCTAGGGCAGTCGAAAAAATAATTATCGCTTGCCATACAACTGTATCGTTTCCGAGAAGTACTGCGTTTATTATACGGGACGCTATAAGCTGCTTGGAAATGCAAGCATCTGTTCTTTTATGAATAATACTTGATACCAGGCAACCCGCCTGGCAAAATTTGGCCACAATTACCATTAATTAAATATACGATTATATAATATATATATATATAATATTATTTTAATATTAAATCAAGTACCGATACATTTTTTTAAGTGAAACCAAACTATTTACATCTGATGATTGATTTTTCGTTGGCGGATGGATTTTCGTAATATGGCTGGCGATACATATATTTTATTTTCAACATAATATATAACGGTAATAGTCCGTTTTTTCGCCTGCCTTTGCAACAGATAATTAATTACTATAATAAAATAAAAAAACGTTTGGGTAACTTCATATTCCAAAACATTGGAGTAAATATCATAAAATACATAATCAAATAACTGAATATTATTTTAAATGTTTATTTACTTTATACTAAAAAAAAAATCAAAGACAGCATTAACCATTTTTATAAGAAGTCGGCAAAATTCGTCTGCGCAGAGATAAAGTCGATGGAATACGATTAATAACTGTTGAAATATAGACTTTAATGAGTCACATTAAGGTTTACATTTGCAATACAACTCGCGACTCAACAAAACAAAAAGGTTGGATATACATGATTTTCGCGCTTAATAAATGAAACTGCGCTGGTAACTCATAAATATGGTTTTACTGAATTTATTATTAAATTTAAATTCTTAAAACAAATTGAACATTCATATATTAATTTCGCTTATAATAAGCATAGCCTTATTTTGAATACTTCTTTATTTTTGTATTAGTACATTAAATGTAAAATGTATGTAATTTTGTAAGAAATCACCAAAGACTTCTATGTAAGTGCAACACAAGCTGTTCAGAACTAAAATTGTGACCTACACCCATTTTCACTTACCTAGAACAAGGCATAGCTTAACTAAGAAACGCCTAATATTAGGAATCGCCTAAGCAGATTAGTTTAATTCCAAATATTTCTTTTTCTTTCATTTTCTTGACATATTTATGACCTGTAATATACGCAAAAGCCTAACGCAAGGCGCCGCATAAAGAATATCATAAATTTAGACATTGCTTAATTTAGTTAGGTAGTTCCTAGTCAATGGTGTAATGCGTTTTGGCCTTAGGCGATTGCTAAATACTCGTATTTAGGCGAAAGATTTGGGCGACTCCTAAGTTTCGTGAAAACTGGCAACAGTGTAAAGACAGCTCATCGGACATACGGTTCGCTCTTCGTTTAGAGTAAGCGAGAAGGCAATAGCATTTTATTTTTCTGCAAGCATATGGGGCAAGACGGTAAAACAGTTTCGTTTCATCAGCGCCATCTAGTAGTTATAAGAAGTATTAGGTAAAGCTTGTGTGTTTGACTTGATGCCTATGGCTCTAATGATATGGTTCTTTGTGCTTATTTGTCTGGGCCATTCGAAGGTAGAAGCTAAGACAAAGTGATCTGTCCTAGCATTAGCTTGAAATTTAATGAGAACAGCCCTTTGATTCTGCAAAAAATCGAACCCGAATTCGAATTCACGCAGGTGTCGGAATTCACTTCGAAAGCGACATATCGAAACTTGAATTGGTATTTTTAAGTTTCGTGGCAAAAGTGAAGTGAGTTTCGAAATGAAATAAGGATAGAATATCTGAGACACGTATAATCAGTCTATCTTGTTGTTTTATTTTTATACAAAAAAATTAAATCAATAGAATTTCTACACTAAATGTCTTGAATTCGGAGACATGAGTGAATTCGATTTCGGGTACGGATTTTTACGGAATTGCTCTGCCGCTTTTGACGTAGCAAGAATCAAAACAAGTAATGAAACTGACAGTTACATTATTTTTTAATTAGAATCACGAAAGAGGCAAACGAAAACAGCTTATACAGCCACATGTTTATTTAAGCTAACTGTACTTATGAGTCGAGCCTAAGTATGGAATGTTAAAACTATGTCATTTTTAAATTTCTATGAGTAAATTCGATAATTTTATTCTAATAATAGGAAAGAAAGGTATCTTTATCTAACCAGTCTCGATAGCGAAAATGTAATTTCTTCGTTCATTGATATTAAAAAAAAGTAACCATTTGGTCTCAAATATTTTTTTTAAATAACGAGAATCCATAAAAATTACCATTAAAAGATGACAACTATGTCACATTAGTCTCACTAGATGGCGCTATTGGAATTATAGGTCAAACGTCAACAAATCCACACTGAGAGTCAAATTATTAAAAAATATATCTTATCATATCTCATGAATCCTAATTGTTAAGACAATTGAATATTTAAAGTATTCACATTTTTCATAGATAATGGTCCGACTCACACTTTTCCTGTAACTTTTTAAATTATTTTAGCGCCAACACATAGTTAAGTATAACGTACATATCAAATTGGTTAAATATAACATTCATCTAAATGTCAGCTGACATGACCACCAACTCAACTAGCGCCATCTACTTTCAGCTAATCAAATCACTTGCCATTAGGAAAAACATAAGGCCCGTTTTACATTGACGATACGATGACGGGTAGTAATTCACTATTATATGATAAATTCACTTAAAATTACCACTAAATCTAACAAGTAATTAAAAAAAAGGAGAAAAAAAACCCAATTGCATATTTTATGTATCTTTGGAATTAAAGAACAGTGATTATAATATATATGTATGTAATATATATGTAGTACATATTAAAGGGAATTCTTTGTTGAGACATCACATAGAGCTGTTAAGACACCCCATACTGTATTTATATATATTAATATTAGCTAATTCTATAGTAATATTGAAAAGAGGAAAGATTTCATTGTCTGTTTAGAAACTACTAAAGCTATTATTTAAATTCTTTCACACACGAGAAAATACATCAATAAATATTCAATTCAGTTAAAAATTAAAAAAAGTACTCTATGTTGTAACAGCTCTATATGAGATCCGATCAAAGAGTTCCCATAATTATATTAATAATCCAATCACTGTCTAAAAACATTAGGAACGTAAGTCATTACACTCTTACATCTACGCCCGCTTTCTTCTTTCTTTTATTAATGAAAGGCATCAAAATCCATAGAGACGCACCCCCGATAAATATAAAACCAAAACTAATAAACATATTATTATAATTATGATCCAATTCGAACCATAAACCACACAGGGGCGGTCCGATCAACTGCAGAATACCGTTCACGAAAAGACTTATCCCGTATGTAGACATCAATCTTTCAACACCTAACACTTCAGCCATAACCAGAGTCGTAACACTATTATTGACACCAGACGCTAACCCGAAGAAAGCACAGCAAACGCTGATACCGACGTAAGTGGACAAAAAGGGCATCACGACCAAAGCCAATCCGGAGAACAAGAGACCGCCGACGAAATAAAAACTCTTCGGTATCAAATTCAGATCGCATAACGCGGAACCGCCGATACGTCCGACCAGATCGAGAGCCGACACTGTACTGAGCAAATAAGCGCCTTGCGCTTTATCGAAACCTATGTTTTGTGCGTGCGAGGGTAGTAGTATAATGAAGTTTGTGCACGATATAGCTACTGTGCTTGAGGATATCAAAATAACCAAATAAGATGGGTCGGTTAAAAGGCTCAAGTCGAAAAACTTGTTAGGCTCCTTTCTCTCTTTCTTTTTGCAGCAAAAACAGCAGTATGCGACATCCGCAACACTTTCGGTGACAGATTTCAGCGAGAACTGTGACGCGAATTCGTTCGGTTGCTCGAAAGCTGAAAGTGTCGAACCGTGGAACGGCGTTGATACGTAAGCGAAACTCGAAGTGGACATGTTCCTCTTGGGGCCGGCGGTGCTCAACCTTCTGCCAAAAGTTTCTTGTGACCCCAATCTTTTTATATCGTGGGCTATAGATGCTGAGCTGTTGTTGACCCTGGACACTGGCCTCGACAGTTTCTTCTTAGACATGTTGTGTCTAAGCTGATTTTGCGAAGAAAACGATGGAATGCAATTCTGACTGTTCACGTTGGTTTGCGATAGATTTTTCTGTAAATCAATCGAGCCGTTAGTTAATATCCTCGGCATATTTTCTTGTACCTTCGCATTGTCAATCGGTTCCTCTTCTTCGAATAATATGTCGCCCTGAAAAGAAATTTTATCATAATTCTTTGGACAACATTTACGCAAACATCTAAATAGTTAAAAATAGGTTTTCACTGATGAAATTTGTAAAAGATTACGCGTCGAATATAGCCATTTCGTTCTCGGCCTTGGTTGATATTATTAAGCAATTTCATATGTAAAAACCGAATAATTTACATATTAAAATAAACATTCACAAATAATAAATTACTGCTAATTGTTTGAATTACAACAATTCAACAATGCCCAGCAAAATGAAGCTAGCTTATAAAGTATGCGTCAATATTTAAAAATTCACTCGTATGAATTAAAATGACACCTGAATACCTATTCTATTTCTCTGAAAACGAAATTTCTCCTTTTTATATAATAATACGACTCAAAGATTCATTTAGATAATTTATGACGTCTATGCATTTTAACATAATGAGGAAGAATTAAAAAAAAAACATTAGTTTCCGAATTAAAACTGTAGATGTCGCTACTTTCTTGATTTCTCCATGACAACCTTTCAGGTTTTTGTATAAAAGTAAAATAAATAACTCATAATCCGTTTGTACTTATCTACAAACTTTGCAAAGTTCAGTTTTTTTTATATGTCAGTTCAAAAGAACGGAAATTACTATAATTGGTGCATTCGTTTCCTGCAAAAATGAACTTTTGCTAGAGTCGCCATCTTTTTTAGTGCTTTCTTTTTTTTAAAATGAGGAAGCTCATTATAAGAACGATTCGAAGTTTCCGAATTTTCTTTAGACAAATGGAATAGGTCCTCAGGTGTCATTTAATTCGTACGAGCTATATGTGTATATTTAATACCAAAGTCTTCCTTGATGATAATAATTATATTAGTATTGCAGGACATTGTGGAATAATAAGAGGGGTAAATAAAAGCACATCGGATCATAGAAAGTATTTAAGAGTGCGCCCACACCAATAATTACTTTTGAACAGGGGTGTAGCCACACCCTAGCCTCCTGGGGCCGCTAACATGTGCAAGAAAATATTTTTTATTCTCCATTGAGGCCTCAGACTAATTTTGACACAAGGCCTTATTGCTTTATTTTCTTGAAACTAATTTTATACAAATCAATAACGTCGAAAAAAGCTATAATTTAAAATGAGAAATCTACATTGAGGGCTATTATAAACAAGGTTTAGGGTCAGAGTTAATTTACGCTATAATTACATATTTGGTATTAGTCCAAATTCATATTATACAGAGAATAAGCAAACCTACCACCTTCTAGGAGTAAATGTCACTCACGTAGAACCTCGTACAAGGTTAACCTTTGCCAAGTCTCTGTTTAATAATATGAATTTTGACTAATACTAAGTGCAGTCTCAGCGTAAATTTAGTCCAACGCTAAACCTTGTTTATACAATAGTATGAACGATATCGTTAAATTAACGTTAATTGGAATTGTTCTAGTGCAAGCTTTAGACGGAAATATTACTTTAAGTTACTAAGTTGTAATTATATTTCTTAATTATTAAATCACCGTTCGTTCCGAAAGCGATTTCCACGTTAAACGTTCCATAATTCCATAAAATGCTATCACTATCGCTACACCTTTGAAATATCGCAATAGATTTTAAATTAGAAAATAATGACAGTTTTAACTTTCTATGATCCGATATAAACACCATACCCACACCAACAGATTACTAATTCTCACCACCACAAGCTAAGAAAATGTATGAATGAAAGAATGTAAAAAAATATATAAATGAATATTTCTAAGTTACTTCTCGAAACTGCTTCGAGCGAGGTTTCAGAAACCGGGACTAGCTAAGGCTTGAGATTGCCTAAGACCCGGTCTTGACATTGGCTAATCCCAATGTTAGCTAAGATCCAGTCTTGACATTTGCAAAAACGGGTATTAGCTAAGACCCGGTGTTGAAATTGACTAATACGGGTTTTACCTAAGACCCGGCTTTACTTTGGCTAATACAGGTATTAGCTAAGACTCAGTCTTGAAATTAGCTAATACAGGTATTATCTAATACCCGGCCATTTTCTTTGGCCAATACGAGTATTAGCTAAAGAGAGTACATGGTATTAGAAGCACTATTTGGAAAGACAGTTTGGACACATGTTGTTTCAAATAATTTCAAATAGTTAAAATCCTAAGGACCCTATTACAAAATACAATAAAACTCGCTATGAGGGCATACAAACTGATTTCGGGCGCCCGGAGGAATAATAAATTTTGTGCTTAGAAATTATGACATCGTTATTCTTTACGAAGTAATAAATATTCCAGTATATTATTGTAGAATGGAGACATTCACAGTTTACTTAAAGCAATTTAACGAAGTTTTTTTTAACGAAAAAAATATTTTTTTTTTTCTTTAATTATCTATCAATTATATTTCACAATTTTGTGACGGATCTATCGATAAGCTACTAATAAGAGATGAGATTCTATTTCTTTATCTTATCTGTTTAAAGTACATAGCTTGATCCAGAAGCTCAAAAAGTGCCATAACGGTTTTTTTAATCTTTCTCAACAATTTTGGGTGTAATTAAAAAGTAAAGCACAATTTCCAAAAAGTTAATCCTCTATGACCTATGCCAATAGTCATATATACTATTCAATAAGTCTAAATCTGTAATATACTTTAGATACTGAGATCAAGAACGCCAAAATTGGCTATTTAAAGCAAAAATCACAGTCAACATGTAACTGAATTTGAATAGAGCCCTTAACTACCTCCAAGCAGACCCGGATCTAGGGGTGTGACAAGTGGGGAGGGGGGACCTTTCACCGGGAGCCAGTGTGAGGAAGGAGCCAAAAACAATAATTGTATAATACCTATTTATGGTTAATAATAATAGACCGAGAGATCACAATAATTGAGGGAGCGTACTGCGTACACTAGCAAATAGCCAACTTGGAAAACGGTTGTGCACACACGGCCGCACGTCATGTTACCCTTGGTATCTCTCTGTATATCTCAAATTTTCACAATTTATCTTCAACTCTACCTTCAACATGTTAAGGTTTTAAATTAAGTGAGGAAATATGACAGATTTATGCACAAATTCCAACGTCTATCGCAATCCCTGTCAAACGTACAGAGATTGTGAAAGCGACTGATGTAACTGTAAAAAAAGAAGAGACCCTGGGAGTCATACTGGCCACCTAAAATTTTTAAAATAAGTAAAACCTTTTTTCTATTAGGTCATCAAATAAGTCAATTATAATTTAATTTCTGTGAATAGTGAAATGAAAGAAAGTTGTGCATGTATAAAGAATTATATTCCGGTAGCCGAACAGAAACAATTTCGTATCCTATTGTAAACGTTTTAGGTTCACTTTATAACAAATGAAACAATTAATAAACGGTTCCATCGCGTTTTTATTTAGATTTATTGACGTTTCGGACCCTTTACGGGTTTCGTGTTGACATAAGACTAAGGAGTTGATTGTCTTTTTAATTAAAAGTATAGCTACCTTCAAAACAATACTACCATCAAAAACATAACACGTATAAAAATGAATAAGCCTCACAACGCAATTCTTATGCCGTAAAAAGTTATGAAAACAACGTAAACCAAGTCGATTGGTTCAGTACCTATCTTTCCGTGAGAACAACTACTTAACAAACGCACACACATTATTCGCCTGAGTATTTTTAAACCAATAAAGCATAGAGCCAAGAGCGGTCGCGGGATGGGTAACCAAAAATTTACTATCTCGAACTAGTCCGTGCTTCAGAAAGCACGTTAGGCAGTTCCTCTTAGCTGCATTTGTAGTCATTAATACCATCCAATACGCATGGAGCCACGCGGAGGGTCATGGCCCATCCTCCTTAACCATCCATAAGGAAGGCCTGAGCCCCTGCAATGGAGATGCATATGTGGCACTTTCGAGAGCGGCATCACTTACCTGTTTAAATCTAATCAATGTCAACTTTGGTTGTATTCTAAATATATAAATGTACTCGGTGAATGCATCTATAAAATAATAGACTTATTTTATAGATGCATTCACCGAGTACATTTATCATATGATTTATCGAAAACTAATATATAAACATCTTTTTAAAGAGTGTCTTAAACCCAAAAAAAGAGAGAGTAATCTTTGATGCCCGTAACTGACACCATACCCAAAAATTAAAATTTGAGAACTACCTACAAAAAGAAATGAGATCCCATCAAAAACATAACATGTATAAAGACAAGATTGGATAACTTTTCTCATGGAAAGATAGGTACTGAATCAATCGACTTGGTTTACGTTGATTTCATAACTTTTTATGGCAGAAGAATAGGAAATATGTGTTTGATTCAAAAAAAGGCTTAAATATATTTTATAACGATCATTATATTTTTCAACATTAGTTCATTTTCGTCTTAAAAATAATTATTAATAAGTGCATAAAAAGTGCGGTAACTTCAAAATATTCAAACGCCACGCTACTTGTCAGAGCGGATGTGACGAAAATGTACACGCATAGGGATGTCGTTGTTACAAAAAGTTAGCATCGATGCAATAACATCAATGTATAATGTCGCAAAATAAACAACAGATTTCAATTTAAATGATGTTTTAGGCTTTTATTTTTATTTCACTAATTTGGTAACCTATATGAGTTATTAAAAAAGTCTATTACACTTTAAAAATCGATTAGTTGCTAATCGATTTGGGTAATTGAATAATAATCAACCACTCAAAATCCATATTGATTTAAAATGTCATATCTCTAGTCGTGTACTTTGACGTCACGACAAGATATTAAAAATATTTTCCAAAAATGTGCATATTCCCTATTTGCGTTGTGAGACTTGTGCATTTTTTTACATGTTATGTTTTTTATGGTAGTATTGTTTTGAGGGTAGTTATTCTTTTAATTAAAAAGACAACACCTTAGTCTAATGTGAACACGGAACCTGTAAAGTTTCCGAAACGTCAGTACAACTAAAATACAGACGCGATGAAACCTTTCAAAAGTTGTCTCATTTATGGATAGTGCGCGTGATAATATAAGAAACCAACATCATTTTAATTTTAACAAAATGGGCTGGATGCATCTGTGCGAGTGAAATAGGGATATGTTTTCGCACGAGTGAGAGATATGTAGTGCCAGGTTGTACGTTATTCTCGCTGTTCGGCGATAGTAGTTAGTGAATATCAAAGAAATGCTAGTTAGTGAAATACTAATATTTATAAAGTTAGTTAACTACAACATAATCACAAACAGTAAACTATAAAGTGCGACATATTAGAAGCTCACCAGAGAAATTGCAAAAGCTGAACAATCTTACATTAAAAAGTTACGCTTATTAATAATTACAATTTAGGGCTTATAAGTCAACTATAAGCACACGGTATTACTATACGTCAAGGCAACAATACCATTTCTTTTTTCATTACTACGCAAAGGGGTCTTCAGGAAACAATAGCTTCCCATCTTTTAATTTAGATAGGACCACTAAAACCATTTAGGTCGAATTTTAAGAAACCGCTTAAACTTCGACATTACAAGACTTACACCCGTTTTCACTAAACTTAAGAGTCGCCCAAACCTGTAGCCTAAATATTTAGTTATCGCCCAAGGTAAAAATGTATTTCGCCAATGCCTAGGCACCACCTTACGACATTTTTAGGCATTGCTTAGCCTAAAAATTTGACATGCGTTATGCGGCGCCTCGCACTAGGCATTTGCATAATATGACTGGTCACAAATGTATCAAAGGGATAAAAGAAAAAAATGTTTATTTGAAATTATACTAATCTGCTTAGGCAACTCGTAAGATAAGAGCTTTCCTAGTTAAGCTTCACCTTGTTCTAGGTTAATGAAAACGGATGTTAAAGTTTTCAAGGAGCAGAAAGTACTCCGTATGCGATGAGATTTACTTTATCTTATAAGCCACTAAATGTTATAAGCTTACTATTGTAATTAAGTTATAAGCCAACTATTGTAATAAGACATGTTAGATACAAATATATTATAATGCTATGGAATATATGAATATGCTTACTTTTCAAATCGAATGGTGCAATCCCAGAAAATGTTTGAGAAGAATTTTTTCATGACATGAAAACACTATATAAAATTGCATAATTTATTTTTTATTGGAAAAAATACGATAATTCGCAAGCTGTTTTTTGATATTTTATTTTTCTAAATTTTTAATTTGCTTTGGACAAAGTAATAATCAGAGGTCGGAATTAGGTAGAGTTATTTATGTACTTGCATCGAAATGTTGATATTAATGTGGACCTTCCCTACAAATGTGGCAACATCGCGCGTATTGGTATTTTGCAACTTTGGACATCCGATGTCATTGATGTAAGTTTGGCAACGTCGTGCGTGCAGTAGTTTAAATTGTGTAAAAGTAAATAACTTTATATTTAAAATATCACGGGATTTTTTCTGCTCCTTAAAATTAATCTCGGGATTTAAGGCATATCCACTTTATTCTTTCGCTGTATGAAATCAGTGTAAGTACATGAATAACTCTACCTTATTCCGACCACTGGTAATAAAGCAGTAGGATTTTAACTCAACACAGTTGATATGTTATTAAAACGTTTAATTTTTAATTGATCTGAAATATATTTCACATCACCAAATTCCTTTGTATTAATTTAAACTTTGGTTTGTTACTATCAATATTTTTTTTTCTGTAGTTTTTCAGAAATTATTTATAAATAACTTATTTATGAACTGATTAGTGAAAACAGCACCTGGATTCAGTCACATCTGGCGGTAGGTTATCGGCTTTTTAAGTCGCCCTATTCTTTTCTCTCGCTTAGAACTTTTGGTTAGAGCGAGAAAGATAGCTGACTTTCACCTTGAAGATTTCGTGGCTCACTATCGCACCACTTGTTCTCGCTCTAGCCATTTCCGGTGCCAAGCAACAGAAGAGGATTATCATCATCACCCTAGTATTGGGACACAGTTCTTCCCTACGGATAAAAACGAATCGAATAGGGCGAATGAACCCGCCACGCGGACCTAGTGCGGATTGATGGGTGCTAACAACTGAAGCCGGAACCAACACGGCGGCACGACGGAGCTAGTGATGAAAGAAAAATCTGGTCACCCATCCTAAGACAGGCCCTTGCCGGAGGTTGCTTAACAGCCGTATCGTAAAAAGAACCCGATGCACCATCGAAATCCTCAAAAGGAAGAAAAAATAGGGCAACAGAAAAGTCGATACCGTATTTTAAAATGTAGCTTAAATCCAACCGTCTTATTATAAAACAATGACTCAAGTTATTACTTCATTTAAACCATTGCATATTGACATTAAAACAAACAAAAGAAAGACAAAAGAGGAAACGTCAAATTGAGACGTGTTGACTTATTTTGATAAGATAATTGTTTAAAGTTGGAACCAAATAATTGCTCGCTTTATAATAATACGGTAAGTGATCCTGGACTTTGTTAGATAAATATAAATATATAATGATGATTGCAAAATTTATAAAAATATATATATACATATATTTGCCCAATCTAGATTGTATTGAATTATCTGCGGCAAATTTTAGTCGTAAATCAGTTCAAGGAAGACTTCAGTGCAATAATTAAAATCCAAAACGTAAAAAATACCAAATATACAAAAAAACTTCATCCACGGAATTATATAATACAAAAATGCATTTTTTTTTAATATTATTCAATTTCAGTTTCAAGTTAAAATTAAAAGAAAAACCTTCCCAAAATGAAATCAAGTTAAGATCTACATCAAGCCTCACACAGAAACATATAAAGTATGTTTATAATTTTTAAGCCGAATCAAAAGAAATTATTTTTATGTCAACCTGTATATTAGCTTAACCTACTCCAATAACTCTTATTCTTCTTCAATATATTAAATTATTAAATGTCTATTAGCATTTTGTTTAGTAGCAAATCTTAATGAATATCATTATTTACTACCACCATAATGATCTTACCTGGGGAACTTCCTCATCCTCCTCTGGTTCCTTGTATTTCTTCACCAAGTGTTCCTCAACAGGTTGGAAGAGTAGGGCAGCCGCCCACACATTCAGCATAATACCGCCGAGTATCAGAACGGCACCTCTGTAATAAACTTTTTTAATAAGTCCAACTTTTTTATGATTCAACTAAGGCGTTTGATTATGTTTATCATGAAATATTAGACGGAAACTTCATTAGTATGTATTTGTAGACGCCATCTTGAATATTCTTGTCTATTTTTTATTGTTTTGAGTAATATAATGCAGAATGTTGATATCATTGGAATAAAAGAAGTTGAAAAATCAATTAGGCGGTTATGGTTATACCACAAGGCACAGTTCTTGGCCCTTAGTTTTAAATTACGTAAATGTCTTGCTTTATTTTGTAATGAATCACTGAAAAGGTTTTTGGATACTATATTTCAGTATTTTTTTAAAGATAGGAATAATATTGTGCATAATTTTATCCCTAAAGGTGGAAAATAAATATGTATAAATATGTACTTAAAATTTGCTTTACACCATATTAAGCATTTAGTTATCAAGGAGAATATAAATGATAATAACATAGCCCTTGTAAACCTTTTTAGACATATTGAAAGCATTTTGTGCAATTCAATCAATTCATTTAGTTGTGCTATAATTAATAATAGTATTTTTATTTATCTGATTTTCAAGTATTGTACGATTTTTATACACCAATGCTTTATAACGTAGATTTCCCACATCCGAAGACTTTGCCGCATTCAAATCCAATATCATTTATTCAGTCTAGGATGTTGCAAGTACTTGTGAATGTCGAAAACTACGCCATCGGTCCACAAATCTTAAGGCATCTACCTTGTACTGAGAAGAACCGGCAACTTAGACAGGGCTGCTTTTTTCTCCCTGATTTATTTTATACACAGACATCGAGGCCAACATAGTGTTACGTGTTCGGGATCACAATCCAAATTAATTAACAAAATCACAAGGCTTGCAGAAAAATTATCGATGTATCGATACATCGATATTTTGTATTCAATATATCGATAATTTTATCCGATATATATTGATCTGATGAACCGAAATATCGATACAAAATATCCAGTATTGAAAACGATATTTTTAAATTCTTATGGCACTGAAGTCGCTGAAATCCGAAACTGTAGAAGATGGGATCGAACGAAAAAAAAAAACTATATTGTCTATGACATATTCTTGATATTTTGTAATTTTCTCTATTAAAAAGTAATACTGGTAAAATACTTTCGTGTTTATTGCAACTTAATAGATAGATCGATGTATCGATATTTTTCCTTTGATATATCGATGCTAATATTTATATTTTAATAAATATCGATATATCAATATTTTTTTCATTTTCGACATTCCTAGACCCGACTTACACCTATATGACACAATTAGTGTTACCGCGATCCATTGGCGCACAACGCCATCTAGCAATGCGCATACGAACCGCGCCGCTGCGCTCCGTAACAATAGTTTCAGCTAGTTACATATACTCACTTGTATCCGTACGTCTCAAGCAGATACCGCAGCACGGGCGGCAGTATGATGCTGCCGAACGCCGAGCCGGACATGCAGATGCCATTGGCCAGACCGCGCAGGCGGACGAAGTATGACGTCACTATGTACACGGTGGGGGGGAACGCTAGACCGGCCCCAGTGCCCACCATAGCGCCGAAACTGATCAGGAATGACATTTTTTTTTATTTAGCTTGAGACATCGACAGCACAAAAAAATTTGTTCCCGAAATCAAACTAGATGTCGCTACGGTACGTTCTTGACAACCTTTCCGATTTTCTTTCAAGATTAAAAGTAAATTAGTTTTCGAAACTCAATAAACAACTCCTATTCTATTTGTACTTTTTCATATTTGTATTGATATATAAGTTTCGAACTTTGCAAATTTCAGTTTTTTAATATGTTAGTTAAAAGGAACGGAAATGACTATCTTTGGTCCATTCGCTTCCTGCAGAAATCAACTTTTGCAAGAGTCGCCATCTAGTGAGGTGCTTTTTTAGTGCTGTCGTTTTTTTTTTCTTAACATACTTCCTCAGTGAGACTATTACAGATGTAATTATGCATTGTGACTTACCTAAAATACAAATATGTAATAGAAAAGGCACAACTGCTAAAAATCATGCCAAACGCTGCAAAACTGCCACCTATGAGGGTCACAGTGCGGTACGACCACTTCACAGAGAGAATAGACGATAGAGGACCTGAAACAAAACGACAAAAAAAAAATAAAAAAAAAGAAATCTATACTAATATCATAAATGCGAAAGTAACTCTGTCTGTCTGTAACTTAATCACGCCTAAACCACTGAACCAATTTGCATGAAATTTGGTATGGAGATATTTTAATACCCAGGAAAGGACATAGGCTACTTTTTACCGCGGGAAAATGACGCATTCCCACGGGAAAATAGTCTAAATATATATAACCCAAAGGTGACTGACTGACATAGTGATCTATCAACGCACAGCCCAAACCACTGGACGGATCGGGCTGTAATTTGGCATGCAGGTAGATGTTATGACGTAGGCATCCGCCAAGAAAGGATTTTGATCAATTCTATCCCCAAGGGGATAAAATAGGGGATGAAAGTTTGTATGAAACTTTAGTCAATTTTAAGAGCTGAGACTTTGCATGCATGAAGCTACTATGACGTAAGTATCCCCTTAGAAAGGATTTTGATAAATTCCACCCCTAAGGGGATAAGTCTTTTTTTTAGGTATTTTACACAATATAATGAATAAATTGTCGTTAGAAATGCTGCTCAAAGTAACTTTACCACGCGGACGAAGTCGCGGGCAAAAGCTAGTAATACATAAAAAGAAAAACCCGAACAGGCCCTTAGAAGACGAGTTATATTATCATTACTTCCCATTTCTTTTTTTTTGCAAAATGAGGTAGGTTTGGGTTTGAACAAATATAACTTCTATATACCGATCAGGGACAGAGGAAGAGCTTTTCTCACTTTCGCTGGAACTCGAACGGACTAACAATACGTGAGCAAGAGGTCACAGAGTAATGAAAGAAAAGTATGACGCAGACTAGGACAGACAGTATCGCTGAAACACCTTATCCTTCTTTTCTTTAGGTGTACTAGCTGTTGAGGTGGTTGTGGAATTTATTATTATTTATCTTGTGTAATAATACCTTTGTTATATGGTTCTAGTTTTCGGAATGAAATGAAAATGTTTTTATTCAAGTGAGCTTGTTACAAGCACTTTTGAATCGTCCAAAAAAAAATTTTCCCCTACCACTTGTTCAGGACGTCTTTTAGCTGACAAGAAGAACAAGCGAAAGAAACTTACCAGCTCTTTATCATAAGCAATGACATTTACATAAATCATGTCATTACCAAAATAAAACATATATTGAACAATAATAAATACAAGTTTCAAAGTCTGTAGGACATAGGTTGGTACATACCTATAATTAATCGTAATAGAACAGAGCGAAGGCTATTAATTCCATGCATTGCGATCCTTAAAATAATCATCAACTTTATAATAGCCTTTACTCACAAGTATATTCTTTACATGAATTTGAAATTCATTTATGGGTAGGTCAATTACATTTTGTGGAACTTTATTGAACATATCAATACATTTACCCAGAATGTCCGGCGCTACGACGAGGTTTAGGTTGAAAAAAAAATGCAATACCTAGATGTTTCATTACAATCGCCAAAGCATTATAATATATATTCCGTAAACTCACCCAGACTGCTGTACAGGAAGTAGCAAAGGGCCACAATGCCTGACGCCGCTGAAGGGCTCGAGTGGAACACATCATTGAACTCCACCAATAGGACGCCGAAGGACTTAATCGTGCCAGGTATAAGTATATTCACTAAAGTTGCACCTGTCAAACAAAAACTACACTTAAACAACTCAAACTCAATTATATCGATAGGTATATATTTGTGACCGATGACGACCTATCGACATTGACAATGTGGAAGTATTTTAAAAAAAAAAGTAATTGATATCAAACTAGATGTCGCTACGGTACTTTCTTGATGAAATGAAATGAAAATGTTTTTATTCAAGTAAGCTTGTTACAAGCACTTTTGAATCGTCCAAAACTATTTTTCCCTCTACCACTTGTCCCCTTGACAACCCTTCCGTTTTTCTTTCATGTATAAAAGTAAATTAGTTTTCAAAACTCAATAAACAACTCATATTCTATTTGTACTTTTTCGTATTTGTATTGATATATAAGTTTCGAACTTTTCAAATTTCAGTTTTTTAATATGTTAGATAAAAGGAACGGAAATTACTAACTTTGGTCCATTCATTTCCTGCAAAAATCAACTTTTGCTAGAGTCGCCATCTAGTGGAGACCCTTTTTAGTGCTTTCTTTTTTTTAATACTACCTCATTACAAATACACCAAATGTAAATCAAACTGTACATAAGAATGTGAATTTATTACACTTTAAAATACAGTAACCGTGCATTTCGTTTATCCGAAAGCTAATAATAAAAACCCTGGTTGGCTGTATCACACAGCCATATTTTATGCGCGGATACGTCTATGTATGAATGGATATATGAGTAATTGATAAAAAAACAACCCGGAATTATGCAACGTTGTGGCATAATTGCATTTATAAATAAATAATTCAAAAAAAATAAAATAAACAAATTGAAGACACTAAATAAATAAATATTCGTTGCGTTCATTTGTTGAATGAAAAAAGTATTCACTAGCGCCAACAGATGGCGTTAGTGCATATACTCCTGCTCACAGAATGACCCCCCTGTAGAACGAAAACATAGACGTATCCACGTCAAAAAAATATTTTATATATTATTGGCTTATATTTATTTTATCTCCGTTTAATTCTCAAAAGAGATCTAATAAAAGCGTAAGAAAAAGTTGACAACCTTAGTGGCACCGCCGAGTGTAGGTGCGAAAAACGAAGTACATAGACTAGATTACTTTCTGTTATATTCTGCGTCTGAAGCGGCGATTACACTACCCAATTTATCGGGCACGATTTATCGGCATCCATTTGGAGTCGTTGTGATTACACTGCACTAGATAGCCTCCCTAACTCAGTTGGCATCCAAACGTGTGGTATAGAAAGAATGGCTCCTGCACCCGCGAAAATAATATTACTGCGCGCGTAAATAATAAAACCAAAAAAAAAGAATGTTGGATGAAAAAAATTGCTTCTAAGAGACAAACTGTGCAGTTTGAACGTTGTGAGTTTGTTAAGCAAAATATTTCAGAAACTACTTCGGAATGAGTTCTGCACAATTTGATCATATATTAAACTTAGTCACACCTTATATAAAAAAAAAAAAAGATACGCTATTAAGAACTAGTGTAAGCGCTAAACAACGGTTAGCTGTAACCTTAAGTTTTAGCGACGTGAAATGCATATCATGACTTTAAAGTATAGCTCATTGATATCAGAACGCCTGCTATCATAAATTATACCAGAGACATGCAGTGCTAACTATAAACGTTTAAAATATATAGGTAAGAAGAAGATTAATATTATTTCTTTCTTTTCTTTAAGAAAAAGTAATAATATTAAATAACATTTAATGTTATTTAATAAGATAATTTCTCTGCTCGAAAATTTTGCTAGTTGTTGCTCACTAACGTCTTACACGAACGCTGCGCAACAACCGACTGAGCGCTCTAACACCCTAACAGCGATCACATAGCCCGATAAATCGGTCCTAACCCACTAACTAGTGAGATCGGGTCGGGCCCTCACGATCACCCGATATCGGGACCTAACTCTCTAACAGCGACTAAACTTCCCAATTTACAATGTACCCGATAGATTGTGCCCGATAAATTGGTCAGTGAAATCGGCGCTTGAAGCGTCACTGTCACACAAATGAAAGCCACGTCATTATAAGCTCACGCACACACGCGCGCGCGCACAGATGAGTTGAACTATACATGTGTTTACCTACGAGCACGCACCATCCCCATTTGCCGTCCGGCGGGACCATCTCCCAGTCGCGTTCTGGCGCCGGGCCGATGGTGAAACGTCCGCCAACTGTGCCCTCATCCTCCGGAAGTTTAACTGGGGATAGAGAATAATCCTATTAATATTATAAATGTGAAAGTTTCTTTGTTTAGATGTTTGGATGTTTGTACGTCAATCACGCCGAAACTACTGAACGGATTTTGATGAAATTTGGTATACAGATAAGGTGTTAGCTGACTTAGTTAATAGGATACTTTTTATCCCACTAATCATTTCCCTAGGGTCCACGCGGGCGAAGCCGCTGGCGAAAGCTAGTAATACTAATAAATCTCCATTGCACCTACTCCAACAGGACATATTACAATCAAACAGTACTTATTGTTTTGCAGCTATTTTGAAACAATTAATAAAGAATAAGAGGGGGGGGGGGTAATAACGAAAGGAATATATTTAAGAATCACCGTTAACTAGCTTTACACTCGCGGCTTCGCCCGCTTGGATATCCTTCAGTGATATTTTAAATGCCAATAAGTACCCTATGTCTTTTCTCAAGGTCCACTCTGTGTACCAAATTTCATTAAAATTGGTTAAGTACTTTAAATATGAAAATGTGCAGTAACATACTCTTAACTGTTTAATTATCATCTATCGCAATCCCTTTTAATTATTTATTTAGATAGATATTCTCGAAATTCACGGTACAACAACATCTATTGGAATGTCTATGGCGAGCGTTAAATGTAAATACTTAAGTTTTAATATGTCTCTTGATCATTTATGCCATATTTCGTATTAATAATATAATAATAATAATATTTCTTTATTTTTCTCCACAATATCAAAAAAATGTACAAAAGTGCAGAGCGTATCAAGGACATCAGAATTAATCGTGGAGACTGGTGCCTGCACTTGAGTGTAAATCCCGTTTTACAGGTCACCAGGCCTCCAACATCCGGTATATAAGTGTAGATTTTTTACACAATATAAAAGTATCCGTTAAAAAATTTATTGATTCATCCGTGATTCTCCCATCGATTCTGCCAATTTGTGTAATATGCTTTATTTATTTTAGTACCATTTATGTTGTATATGAATCAACACAGTCACAGACACACGCACACAAATACACAAATACCCGCACAAACAAACATACGTGTAAGTACTCATACAAGTACGTTTGGCTTTTTTGGCTCAAAAGCGGTTACGACTTTAAACGTTACACAATTCCATAAATCACTATAACATTGAAAGGGATATAGATTTTGAAATTAGACAATAGGGATGATGACAAATTTCTGTTTGTTTGTCCGTCAGGTAGAGTGTTAAAAAATATTAAACACGTATTTTTTTTCGTAATCATAAAATTACGGCGTTACATTGAGTTGAAATTTCGCATGACGTCACGTTATGGTACGTTTTCTACTCAACTGTGACGTAGCGAGCCCCCACTCCTCAACTTTAATGCCTGTTATCTAAGCTATTTCTTGTTGAATTGAAGTAAAAAAAAAATACGTATCTAATATTTTTCTATTATCTGACTGACGGACTAAATAGAATTGCATTTTTTTTACCCAGTCATCATCCCTATTGAACCACTGGTATGTCTTAAAACGGGTAACTCATTGTTTTATAGAAAAAAAAGGCGGATAATTAGGACAATGACACTCAATGCCAAAACGGTGTAACCATCAATTCTTTCTACATTTAATTATAATCTTTAATACATTGAAATAAATTGCAAAAAAATTCAAATGAATATACAAACAGCAACTTAACGTGATGTGTACATTCACCACATTATAACCGTAGCATTAAGATTTTTAGGGTTCCGTGCTCAAAGAGTAAAAGGGGAACCCTATTACTAAGTGATCATCCATAAATTACGTCACACGATTTTCATGATTTTTTGCCCCTCCCCCCGTCCTAGTCACAGCTGGTCACATTTGTAAGACCCCTCCCCCCTCCTAGTGTGATGTCACATATTTTACAAGGTTTTTATAAAGTAATAGTTTAAAATTCGTGTTTTAACACTTAGATTATAATATATTTTGAAATGTGACGTCACGGAATTTAGGACCCTCCTACCCTTGTCACACAATGTCACATTTCGTCGACCCCCTCCCTCCCCCTTAACGTGTGACGTAATTTATGGATGGCCCCTAAGGCTTACTAAGGCCGAAACCAAAATAAAATAAATATCTAATGGGGCTCCCACATAACCAACGTGATATTTTGCTTGTTTTTACTCGATATTTATAGCGACAACAGGTAGACGCTATAAATGTTTTCAGAATATATATTTATATCATCATCATCATCATCCCCTTTACGTCCCCACTGCAAGGCTCAGGCCTTCCTTATAGATGGTTAAGGAAGATGGGCCATGACCCTCCACGCTGGCCCAATGCGGATTGGAGGGTATTAACGACTGCAAATGCAGCCGAGACTAACAGCTCAACGTGCCTTCCGAAGCACGGAGTAGCTCGAGATAACAATTTTCGGTCACCCATCCCGTGACCGACCCTTGCGAAAGTTGCTTAACGACAACGATCGCGGGCCCCGGCGCTTATCCACTACGCCACTAAGTCACGAGTCCGGATTTTATTGTGTCTTTTCAAAAGATAAAAAAAAATTCACGAGCGCAATCTAATTCATATATACACAATTAATTAATGTTTATGCCAAACGGCAATGACCTTAGAGTCATTCTCCTTTAAAAAGAAATCTGTCAAGAAAATCGCTCTCACACACACATCGAGGGTTCAGTGTGTAGCGTCTGTATTTATAAAATAAATAGCTCTTTTCCCGCGACTTCGTCCGCGTAAAATATAGACTATGTGACCGCGTATTATGTAGCTCCGCGTAGGTGAAACTTTTTGAAATCGTCCCAGGAGCAAACACACAAATAAACAATTTAAACTTTTCTCTTCATAATATCAGTATAGATAGCCCTTTTCCCGCGACTTTGCCCGTGTAAATTATAGAATATATCAGCAGATTTAATAAGTTGATACGCGATATGGTTTGGAATAGTTTTATTTTAAATTTTATACTTATAATTTCGGTGACACAAAAGTAAATTAATTTAAAAGCTTGTAACGGTGTGCTGTAGGTACCACCGTTTATTTCATTTTCGCCGGTATAACCCGACTAATTACAAAATTTCACGTTTCTACGTCTCATCACTACTCCTCAATTTAGTAGTATTATAACGTCCAATGTTTGGGAACAGCTCCAATTTTAGGTGTTTTAATGTCACTTACTTTTTTCATTAATTCTAAATGCATTTATATGTTGACATATTAAAGAACCTTTTTCGAGTTTGTTTACATTTTGTCTCAGAGGAAGATGAACAGACTATAGGTATCAACATGCAAACTTTTTGTCTTTGATTCACCTTTCGTAATTTGAAATTTTGACTAATCCAATATGCTCTTTATGAATGTCTATTGGCAAAAATGGCGTGAACATGATAATTGAATTGTAATTTAAAAAATAAAATGCAAATCTAAAAGTATATCTTCGTGAAATATCTACCGAGCTTTATCTATTACGGAAAACCAAGAAACGGGGTATGCATTTGTTCTATTTTACTATTTCAATTATATTATTTTGGTAATCATACGAACTGTTATATTATTTTTTTGTTTTGTTTATGCATTTGTTCTATTTTACTATTTCAATTATATTATTTTGGTAATCATACGAACTGTTATATTATTTTTTTGTTTTGTTACAGTTTTATTTTTCTTTTTTTTTACCGTAAATAAATCAAGTTCTGGAGCTTATTCAGACTTTCAAGTCACAAGTTTAATGCCTATTTTGCGAAGCAATTAAAAAAATAATCCTAAAGCTATACTTATATTATAAAGCTGAAGAGTTTGTTTGTTTGAACGCTCTAATCTCAGGAACTGCTGGTTCGAATTGAAAAATTCTTTTTGTGTTGAATAGACCATTTATCGAGGAAGGCTTTAGGCTATATAACATCACGCTGCAACTATAAGGAGCGAAGAAATAATGGAAAACGCGGAGGAAAGTCGCTGGCGGCCACTAGTTATTCATAAAATATAAATATAACATTTTATATACACTATAAGAAAAGTTTAAATATTTTTATACTCATAGCGATTCTCAAACATTTTTTGGCGTTGAAACATTATAACCAAATATTTACATAGAACCCTAAAATAAAACAAGACCTAGTTTCGCGTGTACCGTTTATTAATAATGAAATTAATTAAAAAAAAATTTTACTTCGATCTTTGTCGAAATATGTAAATTGTCTTAGAAAAACCTCATAATATGTTTCGCCTAGAGTATCACAAAGCACACTTTGAGATACATTATTTAAAAAAAACAGTCAAATGCAAGTATAATCTACTCCTACTACTACTAATATACTCGGTATCGCGCACCGAGTTTTCCGTAAAATTTACAGTTATCGTAATTTTTCCTTTATCTGTGCTATAAGAGGTTGCTTTGTACCAAATTTCAAAGATTCGAAGACATAATGTATGTTTTAATTGCGACAGCTTAGAAGTTCAACCTTTTCACAGCACCAAGGGACTGTAGATCTGAGTATCATATCCTATTAATATTATAAATGTGAAAGTTTCTCTGTTTGGATGTTTAGATGTTTGGATGTTTGTACGTCAATCACGCCGAAACTACTGAACGGATTTTGATGAAATTTGGTATACAGATAGGGTGTTAGCTGATTTAGATAATAGGATACTTTTTATCCCACTAAACATTAGGGTCCACGCGGGCGAAGCCGCTGGCAAAAGCTAGTTTGATATAAATTTCTGCTTGATGCCTGAGGAGACTTGACATACGGACGTATAGTGATCCTATAAGGGTTCCGTTTTTTTCTTGAACGAACTTGAATATGCTCCTAAACTACGGGAACGATTTTAAAGTCTTTCACCTGCGGGAAGCTACATCATATGTGATGGACAAAGGATACATTTTATACCGAACAGCAAATAAAGGGATGAAATTGGAAGTGGAAGTTTGTATGGGGAATTAAAACGTTACCATTAACCATTATTTACTATTTAATTTATCGTTTCATGAGGAAGTATTTTAAAAAAATA